CAGTGCTGAATCATGGCATTAATCGGGCTACTCTTAAGTGAATTCTCGCAACTGCGAACACCTAAATTGGGCAAACGGTTCGATGTAGAGCATATTAAGCCTCCATCTTACATTCTGCATTCAAAGAGACTCGTGCCTCTAATGAGGTGTCGTCGGCCATCTGGCACGTCACAGAATTCACGGATGGGCACTTCCACTCACGGCGATTTAGCGTTGCTACATCATGTAAATTCGATAATCGGACGAAAAAAGCAAAAGCGCCCTCGGGCCTTTTCCCGACGATGAATTCAATTTGTCGGGTACAAGCCGCGCCTGATGGCGCCCCCGACACGCACGCCTTAGTCCCCACTTCAGGGCTTTTTCGCGCATCAACGAATGCGTCGTATAGTTGAGAGGGTTACATTTTTACGCGTGTGCGTCAGAATGCTTAATCTTTCTTTTCGGACTTCTCACAGCTATCCCTTATAGGATGTGGTATTCCTAGCATACTACAGAATTCACAGTTCTGAAGATTCTCCTGTTTCTCTCTGACCTAACTAAGTTGTGAAGTTTGGTTATCGAAAAAGTGTTTCGCTTCTTTTTCACACCGACCAGTTCAACCTCTTTCTGTTGACTTTCGTTGCTTTGAGCTTTCATTTTCATGGTTGACAACATTAATGTCGTATAAACCATCACTCTTACTCTTACACGATTAATAGCAACCTACAACAGTAAATCGATTTATGGGGTCTCCTTCGTTATCTCTGACTGTTTTTCCCCGTAGTTAGTTCTATGCAGTCGTCTAACGCCCGCTTGTTTGTCTTATTACTGCGTTATTACTGTACAAAGATTTTGTTTACGCGTAGCTATGGTATGCCAGAATTATTGTTTCAAGATGTACTCGTTTGTTTGATTTCTGTAAATTTAACTTATTTTTTATTTGTTCTATTGTTCGTGAAAGTTTTCCAAGAATTGCCACCACTCTCCCTACTAAAAAAGTTTTTCAAAGAGCTCCATCGGAAATGCGGCTCTCATTTATTGCATTTCGCTGAATGAAGCCGTTGTAGATAGGGAGAACACCCAACCTACAGAGAGTGCGACGTTAGTGGAGGTTTCCTCTTAAAGTGGCAGTAAAGTTAAGTCTTTTTTGTACTTCAAAGAATGACCTGGGACATTCAACTGGTGGGAGGTTTAATCGAAATCGGGGTAATAACAATGGCATTAATACAGTCTGATTGTTAGTTTGATTGTCTTGATTCACGACAACTGAACTGCAGTTTAAAAGAGCATATTTCTCCCTCTCATGCCAACAGCCTAGCCTTTGGTGGGCGCTCTATTACAGTTTTTGACTTTCGTATGAAACTATCCCATGAAAAATACATCCCGTGCCATTAAGTACCCTCCATATCCCGAATATGAGGAGGGCGTGGCTGAGCAATTCATTTGAACATAGCCTAGGATGCTTGTCTCGTGGGATATTTCCACTCGAGAAATAGTCATTCGTAATAGTTTTGGGCAAGAACATAGTTATGATCGCCCTGAAGCGGCAACATTATACCAATGGCGCAGCTGCCGCACCTTCAAATAAGGTGGTCAACCACGCCTTTCCCATCTTCAAGGTGCGGAGGGTGCGCAGCCGCTCCCTCTCCATCTCCGCGGTATACAAAGAGTATAGGCCATTTCCGGTCATTAGTCCTCTGATTAAGTCATAGCTCCGTTAGCATTTGTATTTACCGAATTTTTCAATTGTGGAATTTCTTAATTTTTATGTTCTCATTATACTTTTATTCCTTCTGAATCTTGAATTATTTATAAGCTAAAGAAACACCACAAAGCAAAGGCAGACGCAGTTCACGTCAGCCATTCTTGTGAATCTAGGTGGTGACGTGAGTAAGAAGATAATGAACCGAGAAACTTGAAAAAGCAGATGCGATTCTTTTCGTCGATAAATCTGCGGAGGAGCCTTCCTTCAGTCGGGAGAAAAAAGTGTGGCAATAATGGGTTTCTTGGAAAACCAATGCATTGCGCGAACCTAGAAAAAGCCTTAGATTTCTCGCTACTCATTTTCGAACAAAAGGAATTACTCTGCATGACTCCCTCTCTCTCGAAGGCGTTCGTTCCATTCGCCATTCGACTGCTTTTACCCAGGATCTTTTATTTAGAAGGATCACAAACAGGGCAGTTCTGCCGCCGGGGAAAATTTTCGAAGTATCCGATTCCTTCCCTAGTTCCCTCCTCTGATACGACTCCCCTTCCCACTCCTTCTACCTACCACTTTCCTAGACATTCCAAACTCCTTACCACCTTCTCCATTTTTTTTCGGAATTTCAAAATTTTCTAGTCTTCTTCCCAAAATTCTGCTGTCGAGTGCGGGTGGGGGTGTATAGCACATGTGAAGCGGAAAATCGGAAGTAATGTTGTCCCAACGCCCGCGAATTTCTCTCAGAGGCCAATATGACCCCTCCCTTTATGGCGTCCGTGAAACAAGGAAAAATCAACTATCAAACGAAATTTTCTCGGACCAAATGCGATAGCCCTCCCCCGCGACCAAATACGATTTCCCTCTGGGGCTTCCCCAACGTAAGACGTGTTCTGATCACAAAACGCCAACGAAATTTTGATTTACAATTCTTCCAGCGTGATTATTGAAACCTCTAGCGTCCCACAGCGCAATCCTAAACCGTATTTTGAACAGTGGGTGGCACTGTGATTTACCGCCGCCGAAAGGAAAGTTGCAAAGTTTGGCCATAGAACAACGAGACCGCAGGACTCCTAAAGGCAGTTGCACGATGAATTCCTAGACGAGTAGGATTAACACGCCTGGCAGGACGGAATTCCGCGCCCCTGAGCAGGCGCTGCGTAGCGCCTTTTCCCAAGGAGGTGCCCTTATAACGCCCTATCAAGCTGCAACATACCGACCTTGGACGCCCACCGCACCCGCCCGCCCACAAATGGACGACCGTACCTGATGCTCGTATTGCTTCATTTGCGAAGTAAAATATGAAGCGAAGGGAATTGATATAAAGTGGTGCTGCATGGATATGTGAGTGAAACGTGCAGCGGTATCTGCCGTAGCGGCTATTGGCACGGTGCCTACGGAAAACTCGTACAAAATTGGTTTCTTGGTCTTGTGGAAGAAAAGCTTTTTTACGCTCTTGACCGTTTCACTTCTTTTTTTCGCCATTCTCCCCACAATGTTGTACCCTAGCTACCATTTTATACAGACTGCCAAATTATCGTGCTTTATACCTCCGAGGAAAAATTGGAAATTTTGGCTCTAGAACAAGGAGACCGTAGTGCGCCTCGAGTTCAACTCGTGCAGCAAACAACCTATTTATGTCGCCATCACTTCTTTTTGCTATTTGCTACCTGCGTGTTGTTTTCATGACGACATTTCTGTAATCAATCAAAGGTACGCGTTTGTTTTTTTCGTGCCATTCACACCCAGTGACGCACCGCGCCACCCATCGCGCTAACCATTATCCATGATAAGCGCTCTGATACGATCTCGATATCGATCTCGTCATCGGTTAACTATCACATACATCATGCGTCACACGTTCACGGCACCATAGCCGCCGTTCGTGTTTCGTTCAGGCACGATACGATAAAACCAGGCAATCGGGTTCTATCGATTCACTACTCATTGTCACGTTCAAAATGATTTTGGTTGTCACTGGAGTTGAGTGCTGCTCGTTTTTCTAGGTGTGGCTGCTTCATCAGCTGAACTCGTGGGATTTTTCAGTCTTGTCTTGTATGAATATGAATGAAGAAAGCGTCAACGTTTTCCACAGTCGTTCTCATTTGGTCGCTGCTTTATTTTCTTCTGTAGCTGGTACTACTACATTTCTTTTGGTTCATTTCTTGTCTCTACTCTCGAAGAAATATCGGGTTCTTCTATAGATTAGCAGAAAGGATGAAGAGAAGGATGAAGGGGCAGGAGAGAATGTCGAGATGTTCGTCGAAGTATCTATACATCTCGAAAGGGAAACTTGTTTTAATAACGGGAAAGTCAGTTTATATTCATAGAAACCTTCAGAGTTATTGTGCATGTATGGAGACAATGACACAGTCTGTACCTTAGAGAAGCAAAGGGTGTGGCTGCGTACTTCATTTGAACGTGGTGACGGCGGCGCTTCTGGTGGAATGTTGGCGCTCTCGGACAAATATAATCGTATTTCTGTTCAGCGCAACAAGAAACGACATTTGGTTGAACTAGAAAAGCACGTGTATGTTCAAAAGTACGCAGCCACGCCCATCCCATCTTCTAGATATGGAGCGCATACAAGGACGATGAAAAAGCGATGCATTCCTCCTTTGTTCTCTGAGAATACCAAAGAACAGGTCAAAGGGTGGTTTGAGTTCCATAGTGGCGAAATTTTCGAAATTTTTCATTCCAGTGATTTTCACACTCCATTGTTCTCATATGTCTCAACTATTCATCGATTAGAAAGGTGTCCGGGAACATCCAAATTCTCACGCAAAAACAACAATGTTTTCCATCACCGAGTTCTTCGAAAACCCGCAGAACACTTAATCACCCCTTTATGGCTTTCTAAGAACGCGCAAGAGAGCGAACACCCGTCTGGGATCCACGTATGCACCCCCACAACACGTAGTTGTCTGTTTCGGGAGAGCGCTCCTTGCCTAGAAGACCCCACTTCCCCCTTCCCTCCTTTGTATGGAAATATTGAAAATAAAAGGGAAGTGGAGTGAAGAGAGTATCGTTGATGCACCAAAAAGCGAAGGCTTCCAAACAAGACCTTCGACGTGGATATTCTCCTGCAACATCATCTTGAAAAACTCAAGCCTACCCAAGACTCGAAGGAGTTCGGGTGCTGCCTCACCCAGTCTTACCTGTTCCAATGCATCTACTAGTTATGTCGTATCCAGTTATGTTCCAAGCCATGTGTAAAATGTTTTCGTAATGCCGTGTCGCCTCGTATTGTTGCTGTATCGTTACGTACGTTAACAAGCGCTATGATAAGCTGCTTACTGAAGTAACAATAATGTTTTCAGAGATGTCTGTACTATTCCCGGATAATCCGGGTACGAGCTTGGGAGAAGCTCGATTCTCAAATTTTACCGAGAAGATTCCTGACCAATCTCCGGATTGGATTGTGGACATATTCCCTAACAACTCATTCATTGATAGTGAAACGCATACGGTTATAAAAGGATTTTGCCGAGATGTGCTTCTATATGAACTACCGATAATTGGGTGAGCTTTCTGTCTTTACTGCTTTTTTTCCATTTTTTTACCGTTTTAGTTTGGCCTAAAAGGTTGAGCCTTTCATCTTCTCTCTTCCGAACCTTAGAGGTCTCACAACACTCCGGAGTTATGTTCTCAAGCCTTTCGCTTTGGCATTTCCATGAGACAGCGTTCAGACTTGGCAACTTGAGCGATTTCGAATTTGCGTGCCTCGCACCGACCGCGCTCCACCGCTAATTATTGGACTGCTGCAACTGCGTACTCGATCATTTTCAGAATAAGCTTCTTTTTTAGTTGGCTGGAGTTCATCGACTACCATTACAGGGCGGTGGATCGTTCGCATGAAACGCTCAAGTCGCAAAGTATGGACGATGTCTGAGCTGTTCCCTTCTTCCAAAACCCGTGTCACCATTTTACCCCTGAAATACGATACCCAATCTCAACCATAGGCGTCCTGTCATGTTCAAGTAGTATGATCCGCAGTCTCTATGATTGTCCCTGTTTTCATAGCTTCACAGTGAGCAACGAAGGCGCTGCGCCTCCCGTAGGTTGCAGTTTGACGCCTCTTTAGTTGTCCCCCCCCATCGGAACTCGAAGGCTATTTTCTGACACGAGTTCAGTTTTGGGGCTGCGGTTTTGGTTTTTCCTTTGTTGAATGGTATTACCAATTGATTACGCGAAGGGACTAGTAGTGAATCAGGATATCGTTTTGCTAACACAAAACGAGCAGGTTCGGAGAACTCATACAGTGAGGCTGCCAGGGGTACCTACTTAGGGTGTTCGCGATGATTTTTTTTGGTACTTTTTCTTAGCTGAGAAGAACAACTTAGCGACCCTAGGCTAGCAACTCAAGGCAGTCACACTTAACAAGCAATCGCGGGGTTTGTCTCTGGAGGCATACAAGGTGCCCTTCTGTGGGCTAGCTCACCCGGATCATTGTGTGATGTTTATCGGTGTTCTCCCACATCTGTAGTCAGAAGGAAAGACCAACCAACGAGAACGCCTCAAGTAGGTCCACCCACGCGATCAGTGCGTTGAGCCTTAGAGTGGCTTTTCTCCTCTGAACCACTATTTCTGGTACTGTGCCTGTGAGATGGCATAGTTCTCTTGAAGACCTTTGGGCACCTCCCCCCACTGCGCCCCAGATCTACACTTCTTTTCCCTTCTCTCGCACTCTGCTACTGGTATCCATTTTCAGTGTCTGTGTAGATGTTGCTAATCCGGACTCTCACTCACACATGTTTTTTCAGGGTTCGTTATTGGGATTTAGCGATTCTGACGCCAAATCTTCTGTTTTTGTTATTTTTGCTGTTAAATGCAAGACATGTTTTCAAGAAGATAACTGGTTCCAAAAGTCCTGTATTCAAGGCTTTTTTCGTCCTGGTACGTTTCCCATTTTTCTGTGTTCTTGGATTGGACTTTGAACTGAACAAGCACGCAGTGCGTAGGAGCGGCGTAGTGTACGACAAGCAGTGGTGAATGATGTACGAGAAAAAGTGGAAATGTTTGTACACTGCGGATCACTGTTTAAAAAGGAAAAAATCAGGGAGAAGACAAATCGTCGTCATCTGATAGTTTTTCATGCGGTTATGGATAGACATTGCACCGCTTGATCCCACGTTCACATACACCGGTGACCCCATCGTCGCGGGCATGGCGATTCGGGCACACGCAAACAGGATCTACGGGAACAGAGCAGAAGACCAAAGGTAGTACCAAAAGAGCCTCTAAGGAGTTAGTGTCATTGGAAATGACTGACGCTCCTCGATTTATTTTACTCAATCAATGGGTGTGTTATTATCGCGCTCAGATCTAGAATCAGGGTACAGCATTGTGATGTGTGAAATGGTGTTGTCAGTACGAGCCCCCCTCCCCCCCCCCCTTGGAAGAGAGTCTTCGGTATGATAATCTTTCCCAACACCTACCTACCAGTTTCCTACATATTCCCAGCTTCTTACAGTTTTTTTTTCAATTTTCCTGATAATTTTCTACTTTCTCCCCAGAGATTTTCCGTCAAGCGAGGGGGAGGTCGTCAGAAGCCAACTGCCATTTTCAACTATCGGACATAGAAACACCAACTAAGGGAGGGGGGGGGGAGGGGGCGGCATATGGCCACTGTGAAACGGAAGAAACCGCGAAAGGTCAACAAACAGGAAAAATTTTTCCAACGCGGCAAAGTTTCTCTCAGAGGCACATACGACCCCCTCCCAGCAACGACCAGATACGACCCCCCTCCCCAGCGGCCAATTGCGACCCCCCCTATGTATCGCACAACGACCGTACGCTGTCTAGTGTACCTGCTCCATTTTCACAAATATGTTGAGCTAAAGACCCGCCGCCCTGCATCGTATAGGACTTTACTGCCACTCATTAGCTGGCAACCTAGCCTATCTACTAACCATAAGTTACGGTGGTTCAAACTGAATGACTAAAAATAATTAATCAAATACATAACTATCTACGCAAGTCAGTGTATAGCTCAGTAAACCTACAAGGCTATTAGGCAACAGTGAAAATGTCACTGGAAGGGTCGAGCAGGCTTGTGTTCAGTGGCATGTAAAGGCGCATGTCTATTGGTTTTAATCTGTGCGCGTCTCAATTTTCTGCCGATTACTTACTGTCAAAAACTCTGGAATGGATCAAGTGTTGACAAAAGTGAGACTGGGCAATGTATTGAGTATTTCCGCTATCGTTGCGCACAGTAGGACTAGACTACCACGTGAAGTATGTGCAGATGCCATGCAGAGGCAGACTAGCTGATTGACAAGGGAGTCGCACAGGACAGATTGATCCATACAGAGGAGAGGGCGGAAACCTCCAACGCTCTCAGCTGCTGATTGCGCGAAAAAGTGCTGCCGTTTTCACTGCAGACGCAGGGCCATATCAGGGGAACCGGGTTTGGCTCCGCGCCAACCCGTTCTTCATCAGTACTGAAAAATCCAGGACCATGTCCCACCGCTCCCTCCCAGCGCGCCCCGCATCTGCAGCGAAATGGACATTATAGCTTAGCGGTTTCGATCAAGGCCCACCTAAAACAATGGTTTTCAGGTTTACCTCACTACCTTTATGAATGTAATAAGATGCATCGTATCGATGTCGATAAGCGCTACAAATCCGGTTGGAGAACTCGTTGACAAGGTAAAGTTTTTCCGAAATATTTAGTTTTATATTATTTTCATCTTTTAATTGATAATGACAAGATTTTCTCTCAGGTTCTCTGGATCTCGCTCAAGTTCTTCTACATGACTTCTGAACTAAGCGTGCTGACATTCGCTCTACTCTTTGGTGAGTGACAGACTGTTCACTAATTTTAAGCGAATTGTTCACTAACTTAGAGTGAATCTCCTAGTACCAGGTTTCCATTCGATCTGAAATTCCACCGATGGAAGGAGCAAAATATGTGCGACTCAGACGTTACGTTATCAACTGGGGACAGGTTCCAGTAATCTGCCCATAGTTTGCTAGAGAACACTCGTTAATCCCATTAAATTGTGTTGCTTTTTCCACTTAAAGCTGGATTGACTTAAATCAGGGCTGTGATACTAAGCTTAGTTCTGAGTATATCGCCCTGGCAGCTGCCTTACGTACACCCCTCGACCTAAAAGTACAACTAAATCGACCCTTATTCTCCTTCCCTCCAAAATTCTTCGCGAGACTCGAAAACAAGGCGTAAACTTTATTTCCGTAATATTATCGAGTTGTGGCTGCGTTTAACTCGGCGGTGATTGCGCTGTTGATGTATTGCCCTTTTGGATATGGGGTGCATGTACTGCCAGATGCATTAGGTTGAAAAGCCCAGGTGGGTTCCTATGCCCTCTCACATCAGTGCGGCCCACCCAGAGCAAGCGAAACACGAGTAATTAGCCAGAGGTAAACACGGCCGCCATCAATGCTATCGCAGTAACGCTCTGTCTTGATCTGAGCATATTTTTCAGAAACCAGATGAATGGGCTTTTTCTGTAGCGTTCATGTTTGTGTTCTTATAATCCTCTGGGAGACTGAACTAAGTAAGTGCAACCAGGAGGGCAAAAAGCTACGTTTTTATGAGCGTGGAAAAATCGAAAGACGATGCTGTGACGACAACTTCCTGAATATCCTCCTGAAGTCGGTGGAGTTACTCCCAACAGAATATCAAGGCGAACTTGGGGATATGCAGGAGTGGCAAGTAAAATTATTGCACTGATGCGATTCTTCAGGACATCTCGACAGCTCAACCAGTATCAGAAGGGCTCTCGTAGCGACACTCTTGATTAGTCTTGCTCACTCTGGTTTTCAGTCTGTGTTGGAACTGAAGCTTATTGATCAAGTAAGTCGCAATTTTATTCAAGTACGCGTTCAGCTCATGTTTCACTCAGCTCACGATTTTCCATCTTGTTAATCTTTTCAGTCACTAACCGACGGTTTCTTCGACCTTCATTCAGAAGGAGGACTACTGTTCTGGATGCTCACGTCTGCCGCTTTCGCGCTTGTGAGTTGCCTTCTGGGAGAATTTTCGGCACTTATCCATCTACTCAGTGAAATAATACGTGAATTGTGTGTTTGGCTCATATTCCAGTTCATGTCCGCTTCTTGTTCCAATCGATGTTTTCAGCCCCCCCCCCCTCTATGGGGGCATATCACTGAACACCCATGACGTTTCAGAGAACATTTTTTAGCATTTTGGTGTTGGAGATGTTGTAGAAACTTCTCCTTCCTAAAAGTTATCATCGAGCACCCTTGATATGTTGGAGACTAGAGCAGGGACTTAAACTAGGAGCTGCAAGCATTACAGGGTAACCAGCTGAGAATCCAAGTAGACCTACACCACTATTTTACGGTTTACGAATTGGTTTGGAGGCCAGTGCAGAAGGGGGGGGTCAAAAATGTGGGCGCTGTATGGGATGTTCACTGCTTCCAACTGGGCCGCGGCACTGGTTCAACTATCTCGTCGAAGTGGCCCGGGCTGAAGAAGGTCTCATAGGTGTCGATATCTCATAGGTATCTGGGTGTCGAATCACCGCGGGTGAAGGTCCACTTATTAATCTGCGAGTTCATTTGGAGCATTCTACGGAGGTTTTGGAGCAGACACACAACCGTAGCGACTGTACTCTTCATTCGGATGGAGTAGGTTATCGCAAGGTGAAACTTCTGCGGGGATCACATGCGCTGACCGTTCCACTTCCGAGCACCATCCTGCAACTGCAAAAATTTCTTTTTCGAGCCATGAGCAAGATTTACTCATGTCGATCTTCACTAAAGATGAGAACCAGAAGTGAGAACAACACGCGACACAGCTACTGATTGCTGTTCTACCAGGGCGCACGAGCTTTGCCAAAACCAGGGGTCCCTACTCTGAGGTTTGTGCCTCGGTTCCCTAGAACTTGCAGTTCATGCTAATCTGAAAAGAGTTCGCTCGATACCACGTATGCACCCAACGCCGATGTATGCGTCAGATGCATGTGTAGCTGGCTGCAGAAACATCGAACAAGCAAGGCAAAAGACCGCCAAAGGACTACTTGTCGCTTTCTGCGGGATGGCGCTTCGCGATAACGATTCGCCACTTTCTTACAGAGCAAGGCTGGGGCAAGGTAACACATCCACTGTATGGCGCTGCTCCTTCTTCACAGGAGTATCACCTGCTTCCCGATCTGACCAGCATTCGAAGAGTCTTGAGTTATGGGCAAAAGTCAGACCCCAGACGGGACTAGAACCCGCATCTCCCGCTTATAGAAGACTTGCGTTATCCACTACGCTATGCCGCTCCTACTCTCTCAGCTCAATGAGTTTTTGTGCTATTCATACCGAAAACCATTGAGCTGAAGGGGCAAGAGTGGCCTCGATAACGTAATGAATGTTGCAGCCGCTTGGTGAGTGGGAGATGCAGATACACTCACACGCAGATATGAGTTCACCTCCGTTCATCTTGGAGGGGAGGGGGAGGTGGGGGATACTGCAGCGAATTACAGCTAAGTTCGCTCTTTTTTTTACTTTCAAGCGTTGAGAGGGGTAGACACTTTCCAAGAGAGCGGTCAATTCTGTAGGTCGGCTCCAATTCCATTCGGAACCATTATATCCTCATGTGGTTGCGGGAGGTGTCTTTGAAGCCAGTCTGTTGTTTTTATTTCTCTTTTGTGTGTGACCCACTGAATACTTGTCGTATGCCATTTTCAGATATACCTTTTCGTCCTATGTTTGCCAATGACTTGTGTCAGACGATATGTTACTCTGCCAAGTTAGTGCTTGTAATCATGAAACGCTCTTTTATGATTTGGTTTGATAGCCAATTAATGAGTATTCGTTTAGGCAAATGCTCTTTTTACTTGTATTGCATAATGCTGTCGTTCCTCAACGTTCTGCAAGTGTTCGGAGCCATCCTGCTATTCTTTCACGCGAGTGATGGAATGTGGTACGATATTAATTTCAGTTTCTCATGTCCACATCAGAATTGGTTCTCTTCAAAGATTTCTCAATTAAGCACAATTATTTCAGCTTCGTCGATTTTTCAACGTATTTGTACTTTTGCTTCTACACTCCTATTGTGTACGTAACATTCCTGAGAAGATCCCTCAGGTTAGTTGAAGCTTAAGGAGGGTTTTAAATCGGTTGTTTTATCCAGACCCTCAGGAATCAGCTCATTGCCTAGGATGCATTACTGGATATGCTTATGCTTCATGTGGTGCGTAGTCGCGTCGAGGCCCATGGGGTCTGGGGCTCTGAACTAGACATCTGCCTGCAGATAAACTGTACCCTCACGAGCTACAATAATACGGCGCCACTTCAATGCTCAAAAGTAGGCAGGGATGGAGTGGAGGGCAATGATGCTTGATTGACGTCTCCATACCCCGCCTGCGCTGCTGCACGGCCCTCCAGGCGCCTAGCATACCCGAAGCCCTATTTGTTTACGCCCCCCTCTTCTGGTTGTTCTCTGCCGTAGCATGTTTCGCTGCGGACCTTGGTAGCGACGCAAGTACTGCACGTTGGGGATACTGCGAGCGAAGTGCTGAGAAGATGATCTGGCTGGTATCGCCACCCTCACCCGGTTCCCGTGCTCTTTTCAGCGGAGTCAGTAGCACACCACTGCGCTGCGGGCCTATTCTCCACCTACACACCGTTCGAGATGAGTGGTTCAGCTGATCCGGCCTCTTGATCCTGTCGCAGACCCTCCGGCACATAAAAATTTTTTTTCCTGCAATTCCATTGCCATTTCACCTTTAGTATATACTCCCCCCCTAGTGGATGGTTGTGAAATTTTCGTAAAGGCGAGGGGTGGAATGTCGGTACTCGATTTTTTTCGTGAGTCCATTTCAAGTATGCCTCCTTCAATTCAACCTCGACCCACTTCTTATTCCACGGTTTGCCGCTGCTCCGGTGGTTCGGGTCCGACTCGAAATTTTTACTTGGTCCCTGCCTACCCAGAAACGCGGTTCGACTGCAGGCTGCCGTGCTCTTCCCAACGCCCAGTTCGGGTGTGCCTCCTTCTGTTTATCTACCTGCTTACTCTTTACTCAAGCCCGTTTTCCCGCTGCCCGGGCAGTTCCGGGTCCGAATTTTGAAGATTTCAATTCGGCCCCGCCCGTCCGAACAAACGCCCCGCTCACTTCGGGTATGCCCCCACGCCCATTGTGGGGTAGTCTAACGTGGTGCATAGAGAATGATCGTGTCCCCGGTCCCTGTGATCTTCCGGAGGAATTTTACGAATTTTTGTCGTTGGCACTTCGGTGCGCCCCGTCCATTGTCGAGGCTTAACTTAGTTTGTGTGTATTCGGTATATTTTCAACATGCCCTCAGCCCCCATCCCAAAGTTGACGGCGTTTAAGAGTTTTGTTGACAACGTTTTCAAAAGATTACGTCCGTGACACCACTCAGCTAAATATAGGCCCCGCCCATTGTGGGCGGAGCCTGTTCTCCTATTGGTCCGTCCGACAAACACACAGACAACTTCTGCTTTATATATAGAGTATGATAATTTGCAGCGCCGCTGATTTAAGAAGGCGGGCACGACTCACCTGCCCTCCGTCGACCGAATACGACTGGGATCGGGGTTGGGATCTCAGCGTACGACGCATCCCGAACGGTATACTCCTTAAGGGCCAAAGTCCGCGATCATTTGTATTCACAGATAGTGGTTTAGAGGTTTTCATATTGACGACAAGGTGCTGGTACCTTGATTGTGAGAAAAAAGCAGGAAAAGAACGCCAACTGTCCTAGATAAAAGCCCATCTCTATCTTAGGTTGTACGTGCCTAATTAAGTACATCTCCAACATTACGCCATCATCCGCACAGCTGATCCCGATAAGAACTCTACGACCGTACAAGTGACGATTTTCATGCTTTTTCGTCCTGCAGCTTCGTTTTTCACTGAAAGGCGGGCCTTGATAGCAGCGAGCAGTTTACCTCCAGGGGTGGTTGAGTTTGTTTTTGTGAGAGTCGGCCAGATCGAACACATCAAAATGTGTTCCACCTCGTTATCAAACGAATAACATCAAAATCAGTTTCTGTTGCGAGGTAATGCTATTTGCAACAATTTCCAGGCATCCAAGCTCAAGTTCTGGCAACAGCCTGTTCTCCTACAGAAAGCAACGTGATGAACATGGCTCTGGTGACCTACCGGACTCTTACTTCCCGCGCTTCTCTGGTAAGCATGATGCCAAACTACTTCCTACTTCCAAGCCTCAGTTTCCATACATGCTCTGAGAAATATACGCCATTTCGTTTCACACTACATTCAGCCTTTAGCTTATGCATCGCTAAGGGTGTATTGCAACCAACAGCTTTTGAAGATAGATACATTCCGTCTACATTTTCGGTCCGTTTACATTTTCACATGAATTGATAGGCGGGATCCCTTCCAATCTGTATAATCTATTTGCACAACCGCGTGGAACGTACCACTGCGCCGCTCGAAAGTGGAAGGCGAGGACGTCAGAAGAAGGCGTTTCGAATCTGGTGGCACTTTCTTCAGAAAGGTTTCCACCCTCTTCTCTCGCTTCTTCGCGTTCGTACTGCAGCGCAGCCGGCGCGGCTTTCTTCCAACAACGATGCCATCCTGAGCTCGCTACAGTTGATGGAAAACCTGCTCTACTGCGCTCCAGCCAAGCCCTGTAGTGCGCACTACCAATCGCAATGATTATTTCTGTAAACTTGCACCGCCTTTGGACGACGGGAACATCCCATTTTCTCTCGTAACAAGAAAACTAGTTTCTCTGGGAAGGCAGTTAAGGTTCATCAAAGATGAAGTATTTGTTGGTGTCCGTTTTCGGGAAATGGCACACATTCTTTTCTAATTTTACGGGATTTCGAGTACAGAGCCCTACATACAATAGAGCCGATTATAAAGCCAATGTTTTCATCCACACACCAATGTGGTGGAAATCAGCGATAGAATAGAAGTGTCGATTGGTATGGGCGAGACTCAGTCCAACAGCCTGGCCTACCATATTCTTGAGTTTGGTATAACTCCACTGATCAGGGATGGTCACGACTCGTAGTTTGGTAAAATAGGCCAGTCAAACAGGAACTGAACGAATAGCTTGAAATGTCGATTGCATCTTGGCATTGAGCCTTATCGGACAGGGAACTCAAAGGTGCACTCAGCAGCTGAATAAACGGTCCGTTGATCACACCTGCTCTCAAAGAAACAAGAGGAAAAGAGTCATCGGAGAGAGGCCGTGGGAGAACAAAAAGATGAGCAAGCAAACTGCAAAAGATTTGTTACGCAACACATTCCGAAAACATGCTTTGGCGTAGGCCTGCTGGATGTTAACCTAACAGCGCTTCCCACACGCATTAGAGCCGCGGAAAGGGTGCAACATTTGTAATTGGGTCTGCCTCCCACATGCCCCTACTTGAGGTCGAGTTTTGTACCTCTAAGAGCCTTTATGAACACGTACAGTAAGTTTTGTTTCGCTTTAGCTTTGACGAGTGAGATTTGAAATTGGCAGTTTCTCAGAGGACAGTTATTTATCATTTCCATACAAACCTCAACTCAGCACTTTTCCTTAGTGACTGCCAACTCGGTTTAGGCCTTACGTCGCCATCATACGACGATCTGTTCGATTGTACGCCACGTCCTGTTGCGACTTATTCGGACGCTCCTCTGATGCTTTCAACAGCCGAAACGGCCGAGTCAACAGTAACCACTAGAACGGGTTCGGATGAATGGGAAGCGAGGTATGTAATCTTGAATAACAGTTCTGTTATCTGAACTGTTTGGTTGTCGGTCAGGATACATCGCCGCTGGGCAGGGTGTGTCCTATTTGGTCGCTCACGGAGGGGAGGGGGACCGTATTCCGCATCAATAGATGAGTTGTCGAAGAATAGCTAGATCATAACTTCATTTTGCTTAGTGGTCTATGTAACGATTGTTATGACTCCTCTTTTCTGGCTTAGTTTAGTCATAACACTAGTTTACGCTATCACACACGTTAGACGGTGGGCTTCTGCAGAACGGACACTGGGATAGGCAATTCAAACCGTCTTCTTTCGCGCCACTCCCTTTACAGAAGCTTTTTTGTTCCACTTTAGTCTTCTTTTGACATTTTTCATTACACCTGCCATACTATCGCACCGCTTATGCATTTAATTTAGGCTATTCAGGCATTCTGGGCTATGGGAAACTAACGTCGAGACGCGACATCTGAAAGGTCTCGGCGCTGATGGAAGCCTCGTGTTCGATGACGACCCATACCCGCGGTGGCATCGCTAGGACACGAAACGTCCTCAACTAACTCTCCCATATCTTCGCTTCACTCATCTTCAGCACTCCACATTGAGCTTCTATTAGAAAGCGCTGAAAATCTCAGCGATCGTAGATACATATCTCGTATATGCACAATTGGCGAGTGACTGTACGGTTGCATCTTGGTCGCATATTTCCAACAACCCGTCCATCTGTCCTGTGAACCACGGAAAGTCTAGTGATCGAAAAGTTTTATCCTTGGCTCTGCAGGAGGTTTCGTGACCGGTTTGAGTTTTCAGAAGTGGAGCACGACGCTGACAGGTTACACTAATAAGGCAGCATCTAGTCCTCTTTACCGGTGATTATAGGTGGATTCTGGCCTAAAATATGTGGAATTCGTACCGGTGACCTTATAGGAAATCTCTGGTAACACTTTTCTTCAGCTTCTAGCCAACACGGTCATTTACCGCCACTAATTTCAATCAAAAGTCATGAGGTGTTTCATGATACTAGTGCTTTACTAGAGGACGCGTTACCAAAATATGCCTCACCCACCTCTTTCTCATGGATCTGTCGTTTTGTTGCAATTGTTCAGGCATATTTGTAGTCGAGCTCAGCGATTATGTTACTGTGTACGGCTTACGCGAAGGAGAAGAAATAGCTTCATTGCTATTCAGCCACAGATTAGCCACGTTCCATAACTTTGATCTCTGAATCAGGTTTCTGTGGCAAATGTCATCCAGTTTCTCGCTAACGAGCTGTCCACTTCGCTGTCTGATGTTCGTTCTTTTCCCGCCAAGCGTGACTTTACATATTTGTACATAGTATTTATTAGTTTTGATTTTTTTCGGCCACATCGCATCATTTTGCTGATCTGCCTCCACAGTTCCTTTGTTTCGCCAGCTCTGTTTGAACTGTTGTCTTGTGTTTCCAATCAACGATGTTGCCGGTTTGAGATGTAATGATTCTGTAGATACGTGTAACACATGCATGTCCTGGATTCATTGTGAGCGTCGATAAATAAAGCGTCGCAGAGGAACTGATCGTGTTCTCAGTAGTCAGTACAAAGTGGCAAACACAAACAAATAAACGCACGAACTGACCCGCATATAGGGTGAATTATCCTCTAAAAATCCTCAACGATTAGGTTATCTCGCTTGCTGTAAAAAAAGAGGTCGTATTTTGGAAGAGCCATTAATCTGCAAAGGATGTGACAACGTAAGTGCAGTACTACAGGGGTTAGCAGCGGGGCTTACAAGAGGAGTTGTTCAGGACATGGTAAGCTTTTTGGAACGGTGTCCATGCATAGACCACACAGATGGGGTTCATTTGAAGAGCGTGACTGGAAATTCCTAGAAAGAAGTCAAAGTTGCTCAGAATGGGCGATTTTAACCATCTTTTCGGCTCTGTTCTAGCTGTAGCTTTAGTGTGACAGTTTTTGAGGTGTTCTCCATCTAGGCATGGAAAACAACGCAAAATAAGATCAAAATACAAGTAGTTTATCTTTTATGGGGTGATAACCACTGTGGTTTCTTCAGTAGTTTACAAATACAAGTTGCTCTTAAGGGGGTCTAGGAAAACACGCCCCAACGCGATCAAAGCGCGCATGTGTGCGCATTCGGTATTCAAATGGCATGGCTGACAATTCCTCAAATATTCAAATTCCCGCAAATATGAACACAGCATTCTGTAGATTGAAGTACAGCATCCTTGCGGTGTAGATCCACACAGCACACAGCTATCTCTACCAAGAGTTCCCGGAGAGAATTGAGGATCCCTAACTCAGTGGTAGAAAATAATTAGTAACCATTATGAGTTTTGCAATTTCCACCTGTTTCAAGTCGGGGACTTATGGCTTTTAGCTGAAGTCAATTTATTGGAACACCGGAGTTCATCTGAGCTAAACTTTCTGTGAAGAGAGGGACCAATTTCGCTGGGATCCTGCCTTGTACGCAATGTTGAGTTACACTCGTACAGAAATTCTTTTGCTGGGTGTCGTTCAGTGCTGGAAGGTGCTCAGAAGCCAGGATAGAACTTTTAGCTTGGCACTAGTTTTCTTCCACGTAGGTGTTGGAAGAAAATGCAAACAAAACAACGCGAACAACAAACCTGAGAAGTGAGGGTCGTATCGATTCACCCTTTAGGGAGGGAGGGGGTCGTACGGACTCGACTAAAATCCCTAACCAATGATGTGCACCGCGAGAATAACGTCCGTTTGTAACAATAGTGCCAGCTGGTGCCAAGGACGTCAATTAGGAGTTATTATTGCAGCTTTTGGACTGGCCGCACTGAAGGAATTCTATATTGAAGACAGACCGATTAGTTGACGTAAATCCTTGTTCAGGTTGTATTGTCCGTAAACTCGGAGGGTGTCTCGCTATCGCGACTCCACAGTTAGTGATTGAGCGTGCTGCAGGCGACAGGAACTCAAACTCTCACACCCGCTTCATTGGACCCCGAAACGCTCACTGCACTCATCGCGGAGTGGTCAAATGTTGTTTGATAGAGCGGCGGGCATAAAAATGAATCGCGTATCAATACTTGCTAACTTCGCTCGTGCTCGCTAGTGATTCTGCTCTTATTAATGGGTTTTTTTTCATTACAAGCACATGTAGTAAAAATGGTCCATCTCGCAAGGTGACAACCATTCAGTTCGCCAATCATATAAGTAATTGCACAGTGCGGCCCCCAATCGCGAAAATTGCTCAGAGGGAAATCCCACAGGTTGCGCCGGTGCTCAAAGGGAAGTGGTTTGAACTTCCCATGGAACTTTGAATGGAGACCTAGGTACATCGATAGAGCCTCGAATGCTGATTACGAATATGCAGATTAAAAGTGCTACGGGGACCTCCCAGACGAGTTCTGGGCGGTCAAATTTGTGAAAACTCAGTTGCTGGCTCGTAAGAGCTGCTGATCTAGGCTGTGCTGGTCGTAACGGTCTCGCTTCAAAGGCAAATGCTTGTGGGTTTGCATCCCGTTGGCGCGAAAGTTTTTGCTTCGTCTCCTATAAGAGCTTTTACTCTAATTTTCGAAATTCTTCCGAGTTTACGGCCCAGCAGAGCAAGTAGATCAAGTAGATCAAGTATATGACGTACTCGATCGAGTATGGATTTGGTCACTATCTGCCCTCTCTGAACTCATTAACCATTCGACAATTCGAAGTTTTGGCCAGAATCACAATTTGGCCAGAAACTCGTTCCTGGGGTTTTTGACCCCCTGAGCCCAAATATCACATCCGTTTGACGCGAAAACGATCGGTTCCCTCGTTCATTTGATGATCACAACAACGTGAAAGCAAGCGTTTTCTCGTCGAGTGTGATATTCGTGTTCAGGGGCCAAATTACCCTCAGGAATCAGTTTCTGGTCAAAACTTCGAATTTCGGACGGGTAATAAGTTCAGAAAGGGAAGAAGCAAATCCATTTACGATCGAGTACGTCATATGCTTGATCTACTTGATCTACTTGCTCTGCTGGGTCGTAAACTCGGAAGAATTTTGAAAATTAGAGTAAAAGCTTTCATAGGAGACGAAGCAAAAACTTTCGCGCCAACGGGATGCAAACCCACAAGCATTTGCCTTTGAAGCGAGACCGTGCCACGATCGATTGCATCGATTGCTAGGCAGTGCCACGGTGGCACGGCGCTTACGAGCCAAAACTGAGTTTTCGCAAACTTCGACCGCCCACAAGGTCCCCGTAGCACATTTAATCTGCATATTCGTAAGTCAGAATTCGAGGCTGATGTACCTAGGTCTCCATTCAAAGTTCCATGGAACTTGAAACCATTCTGTTGTCAGGTGTAACCGCCGCGACGACCAGTTGCGATCTCGCCGTCATCGCGCGGGAGCGTGCGACACCATATTGATGGAAAGATTCCGGCCGTCCCTGGTAGTTCAGTCTTTGCTGTCTTCATGGGAGTCAGTCTCATCATACCCTCCACTACTTGGCCGCGGCCTTTAGAACTGTTGCTACTTCTGACAACGATTTTCGTCCGATAGCGGATCGCCGTTGTCGGCTCGACGTGAGTGCCATTACTGGTGTGCTTGTTTCTCCGCTTGAATTAAAGTAATTGGTGTCCCAGTTAGACTTGTGACTTAATATTAGCACTTGTTGTTACTGTCTTACCAGGTGATGTCCTTCTAGATTGTTATCGTGTCGTGAATGTTTTCATCGAGTACCATGACCCTTGATAGAAGAAGCAGAGAGCTTCCACA